GCTTGCAAGGCAGGCAGCGGAACCACTGAGTTAAATCCCCGGCCCCTATGGAGAGCTTTTTTTGAAAGCTTTTTCAGATAGGGTCTCTCTGTGTAGTCCAGCCTGGCCTTGAACTCACAGTTCCCTTGCCTCTGCCTCCCAAGTCCTGATATTACAGCCATGCATTACATTCCACTGACAGCTATTTCAATTAACACATCACTCAAAGTAAAATTTGAGGTGAATATCCTTTATCAGAAATTCTGATTTGGCAGGAATATTTGGTCTTTGGAATATTTGATGTACATAATGAGATATCCTGGAGATGGTAGCAAATCTAAACACAAAATTCATTTATATTTGATAAATCCTCTATGCACATAGTCTGAAGGTAATTTCTTTTTTTTTTTTTTTTTTTTTGTACCAGGGATCAAAATTGGGTCCTTGCGCTTGTGCAGCAGGCAGCAAAATCACTGAGCTAAATCCCCGGCCCCTGAAGGTAATTTCATACAATATTTTTAATAATTTTGTACATGAAGCAGTTTCATGGTCACCTGGTGATTTTTCACATCACATTATGTCAGCATTCAAAAACTTTCATATTTTGGGAGTATTTCAGATGACGGATTTTCAGATTAGATATGCTCAATCTGTAATAATCTCAGCAAGCATTTATAACTTTTTTTAATTTTTGAAAAGTCAGGTACTGCATTTTGGGACAAAAATGGTTAAATATACAAAATTACACAATAACTGAGTTTTAGAGAGTCTTGGCCTTATTTATTTCATATGACTACAGTACTATTTAAACCAACTTTCCATGGTTAGCTAATCAACTGCTCTAATCTGGGAGCAAACCCATACATACATACTACTCAATAACTATTTGTGAAATGAACGAATTACCTCTATTTTTTTTTTTTATTTGGTACTAGGGATCGAACTGGGGACTTGACGCGTTCGAGGCAGGCAGCAGAACCACTGAGCTAAATTCCTGGCCCACCTCTATTCTTTTTTTAAAAGCTTTCTATGTAAGACACTACAGTCTCCTAAAATGCCTACAAATATCACTGGAAGCAAGTGAAGGTCATCAACCTTTAAGTGGCAACCTCAAGAAATTATTCATTAAATTGAAAAAGGAAGTAAGATGAAAATCCAAGCCTTTCAAATGTGCTTTTCCAGGAGAGTCAGGAAGAACTATGAAGTGAGAGGCCATACAGACTGAAAGAGGACTATTAAAATTTCTGTTCTCAGGGCCTGGGATTTAGCTCAGTGGTTCCACTGCCTGCTTTGCAAGCACAAGGTCCCAAGTTCAATTCCTGGTACCAAAAAAAAAAAAAGTCTGTTCTCCAAGTGTTCCTTTAATTACTGTCACATTTCAGAGTTCAACAAAATTATAAAGATGATACCAGTAAAACATTGTCAGAGAATCTCACATCTAAACTGAAGAAAAAATGAAAAGCTGAAGCCCACTAAGACTTTATGTGACAAAAGAAATCAACCCTTACCTCTACGTAATTAATTCGGTATGCAATTAGTTTCATTAGAATCCTAGAAAAGACAAAGTATTAAGGAACTCTGGATACAGTAGAGGTCTTTGCATTCCTCCCCATATTCAGTGAGGCAGCAATCAGGAGAATCCACTGCAGAATGATCAAGGGCATACAATACCCATCCCACTCTCACATAGAGCATGAGGCTACAAAGAAAACAAGATTTGAGGTGGGCATGCAGTATTTGGTTCCAGTTTCCTGGATCACTTTTGATATTAAAAGGGGGAGGGCTTAGAACAAAAGTAGATTTTTCAGAAGAAAAAAAGTCTGATGTTAGATTGAAATCAAGTGAATTATAGTCTGTTTCCAAATAAATTATTTTCCAGGATTAAATCTTACTTCATTAAGAAAAAAGTTGTATGAGCTTTACACAAATGCAAAAGTAAATCTGTTATGGTTTTCAAAACATCGCCAGATGATATATTCACACAGTAGAATACTAAACATTGGGGGCCGGGGATTTAGCTCAGTGGTTCCGCCGCCTGCTGCGCAAGCGCAAGGACCTGAATTCGATCCCTGGTACGGCGGGGGGGGGCGGAATACTAAACATTAAAAATGAATATACCTCATGAATTCATGAGTCTCACGAACATAATGATTAATAAAGAAAGCAAAACTGCAGAAGAATTTATAGAACATATTTTTACATAAAGTTTTCAAATATGTAAAACAATACAATATGTTGTCAGAGGATATACACATATGGACTAGAAGTCTAAGAAATGTATGAGAAAAGTAAATGTCAAACTGAGGACACTACCTATCTTAAGGAAGGGAAGGAATGAGTTTAATTGGATAGGGATGCACAGCAGGGTTTCAGCTCTATTGGCAATATCACATTTCTCATGATGGTGCATGCTGAATGGTAAATGAGCATTTGCTACCTTATTCTTCATATCTTTTGGGTGTCTAGAATTTTGTTGCTGTCGTTAATTTAAATAGCTACTTCAGACAGCCCAAAGGGGGAAAAAAATGGTCAAAGGCTCTGAACAATACACAAATGGCCAGTAAAACACATGAAAAGTTGTTCAACATTAAATGAAAATCAAAATTATATGGCACTTCATATCCACTAGGATAACTATAATTAAAAATGCACAAAACAAGCTGTACATGGTGGTACACACCTGTAATCCCAGCACTCTGGGAGAATGAGGTAAATTCAAGCCCAGTCTAGCATGTTACTGACTTAGGGAGACCTTGTCTCAAAGGAGGGTGGGGGGCTAGCTTAGTGTGAAAGTCCTGGGTTCAATCCTCAGTACTAGAAAAAAAAATTGCACATAACAAAGCTTGGTGAGAATGTGGAGAAACTGTAATCTCATACACTGCATATGGGAATGTAAAATGATGTGATAACTTTGGAATAAAATGTAGTATATGGATACAATGCAATATTTTTCAGTTATAAAAAGAAATAAAGTATTAATTCACGCTACACCATAGATGAATCTTGAAACCTTATGATCCCATTGACATGAAGTGTCCAGAATTAGCCTATCCAGAGAGATAGAAAATAGCTTAATGGGTACCTGCCAGATAGAAAAAGAGGGGCAATGGAGAATGACTGCTAATTGGTACAAGGTTTCTTCTAGGTAATGAAAATGTTCTGGTATTAGCAGTTACAACGGCACAACTGTGACTACTCAGATGTGTGAACTAGAAAAGCAAAGGACTCTTAATTGTAATTCCCCTTGATCACTTCTATGCCACTAAATTATGTATACTAATGACATAATATTGTCAAATATTTCTACAACTTCAGAACACACTTCAACAGCCTTGAAGTGATTGTCCTCCTTACAATCTTATTCCCAAAGTAAAAAGCCTAACAGCCTGAAAAAAAAGCCAGCTCATTTACAGTGGCCAGATTCATGGCATCAGGGTTAGTAAGATCATAAATCAATGTTCTAGGTGCTGGAAGCCCAGTATCTAGAGCAGGTTTTCTTCAAGATCGGGTCCACAGATGACCTGCACATGCTGAAAATGCAGGTAACTGGCTCCAATTTAGGAACCAGAGCTTCTGCAAATGAGGCCAGAAACCTGTGTATGTATCTTAAATTGCCGCAAGTTATTTCTGGGCATGCAAAAAGATGGGAGACCTTACTCTCAAGAGGTTGTTCTAAAAGGGTAACAAGGCCACTCTTTCACATTATCTAAACTGACCATTCTGCTGACATCATTCTCCCCAGTTTTCTTTGAAAAAGTAACTATGAAGGCTATTTGGCTCCTATGTGAGTTATATCTAGGTTTCTTTTTAAAGGCTATGACACCCCTCAAAGCATGTATGTGAAACAAGGGCACATTCACAAAATTATGCCCTAAAGGGCCAAAATTCCAAATTTTCTTAATATTGAAACATAAACATTTACAAAATTCTGGAGAAACAAGTTGGAAGTGACACTGAGATGTACTTAACATTTTCACCTTGGTCCACCTACCTGTGTACATGAAAGAAGACAGAGGGTACCGCAAGCCAAGTGCATCTTCTGTAAAGGAATCAACAAAATCTTCCAGCATATGAAGTCCAAAATCTTTGCCTCGGTATTTCTTTCTTACAAACATGGTATCAAGAACTGGCAGTTGGTAATTCTGGGTAAGAAATGAAGCACGCATACTTCCTGCAGTAATAAGAACAAAAACCCAAGAGTAAAATATATATACATTTAGTGAACAAGTTAACAGTTGCCTTTCTAAAATCATTTGCTTTTTTATTACATCAAGAAGAATGTTAAAAGAAATGCATAAATTCCATTTTCCAGCTGTTATTACGTTATCGTGTTACATGCGATAAGAACCATGTAATTTATGTTTGCCAATAGTGCTATTTAATATAGGACAAATAGCCATTTCTATTTTCTGGGAAAAAAAAAAAACTTGGCTACATATTATACATATTATTACCATCTATAGACATAATTCTGAAACTCAACCACTAACAAAATTTCAAAATTTTAGAGCATTTGATGATTTTATTAATACATGAAGTATTTAATTCCAAATTTACAACCCCAACATTCAATCTTCTCCCCTCGTGGTCTCTCCTCTCCCTCTCTCCCCCTCTCTCCCCCCTCCCCCTCCCTCTCTCTGACAGTCTTACTTGGTAGTCTACGCTAACCTGGAACCTGCCTCAGCCTTCTAAGTGTTAGGATTACAGGTAGGAGCCACCATGCTCACCTTCATTTTAATCTACTTGATGGTGGTAAAGAAGTGAATTCATGCTCCAAAATTTTAAGGCCTATATTAGGACTAATCAGAAATATTTGTCTTAGAAATGGTTCGGTCAGCAGACATTTTGTGGTAGAGGTATTTCTAAACACGTCTATGTATTTAAGGTTAGGAGAAACTGTGTCTAAATCTGTCTCCCCAGTGGTATGGCTCTGATCATCTGCCTTTTAAGCCTGTTGTCCTTGAAGCAGCAGCAGCCAACATGAATTTCAATCCCTTTGTGACTTCTGACTGAAGAAAGAACGGAAAAGACATCTCAATGCACCTTTCCGCATCTGCAGGAAGACTGTTTGTTGTCTTCACCCTTTTGCAAAGAGCTGAGACAGAAGTACAATGTTTGAACTCTGCCCATCCAACAGGATGTGTTAAGGTTGTGTGAACATGCTATTAAGGTCAACAGACTGGCAAACAGTCCAGGTTTACAGGAAGAAGTGCATCGTCTAAACTAAATAAGTGCAGCGAGAAAGGCCAATGGCACAACTGCCTATGTGGGTTGTTACCACAGGGCAAACAGGACAATGACCTCAAAAAGATCCTGGAACAGAGCCAAATCTCACCAAGAAGGAAAAGAAAAACGCAAATAAAAGAAACAATTGAGAAGATGTAGAAATAAAGAACATAGAACTTTCATTAAAAACTATTAAAATAGGGCTGGAATTTAGCTCAGTGGTGCTGCCGCCTGCCTCACAAGTGCAAGATTCCGAGTTCAATCCCCAATACAAAAAAAACCTATTAAAATAGCCAGGCATGGTGGTGCTTGCCTGTAATCCCAGCACTCGGGAGGCTGAGGCAGGAGATTGCCACAAGTTCTGCCTGTGCTACATAGTGAGTTCAGGCCAGCCTGAACTATGCTAGACTGTCACAAAAAACGAACAACAACAACAAAAACCTACTAAAATAAAAACAACAACGAAACATGCAAAAGTTTGGGGCTGTTTACAAACCCAAAGAGAACAGTGAATAAGAGTGACTCATGGGACCAGGTACGGGGATGGGTGATCACACAGGACAGACTCTGGGGAGAAGAAATCCTGGGCCTCTGCCCCAACCAATGCCTACCAAAAAGACCCATCACCCCTGAGAATGCAAACCTGAAATTGTCAACTGAAACCCACAAAAATGAGTTCCACTTACAAGTGACCCCAACTGTGAGCTGCTGGGGCATGGGCGGAGGCCACCAGAGGCAACGGCCTAGGGAACACTGGCCAAGCCAGATTCCACTCTCAAACCTCCATCTCCTCCTGGACGGTGCTGTGAACACACAGATCCTGCACATCCTTACCCAAGACCCTTTCCACTGACAACCTGCATTATGTTTTCATCTATACGAGAACATACTGAAAAGAATTTGTTCTTTTCTGGTTTCTGTTTTACTTTTAGCCTCTATGTGCTAGGATCACTTTACTAGGATGGTTTAAGTTCTCCTGCAAAGTTTAATTTCTTATCATGTAAATATTCCAAAGCAGGCTGCCTTATAGTTTTGGCCAGCCTTGTGCTCTGGTAAGATTAATCTACTGCTTAAAATTATTTTACCCAATTTTTAATGAACTTTTCATGTTAAAAATGAATTAAAGAAAAATAATTTGAGTTCTGATCATCCAAATAGATGTCTTAACTTCTCTAATGTATCTTAAAATAGTTTTCAGCTTTCCATTATTTTTAGAATTCAGTTATCAACCAATACTCTCCTCTTTTTTTGCCTCAAATAAAATAATCTATTATTTTTAATCAGATTATTCATGACTTTGGACAATTCTAAAAAGGGAGTTCAAATAAGAAACAAAATATCAGATAACATCTCACAAGCTGACTTACCAATCATTTCAGGAGTTGACCATGACAATAAGACTTTTCTTCAGTTCAACCAAATAATATGAATTGTCTGTAGCTTGTGATTTAATTGGAGAATTTCAGTAGCTTTTTATAAGTCTCCAAGATTATCAATTAATTTAAATTTAGAACAGGCAATACACATTGTTATACACAGATCCTAGCTGCTGGCATGTAGTTAGGCTGTTTCTAAAGGTCTAAGTTTTTTGTTTGAATCTAGTAAGTAGTCTTACCAACAAGCTAATGTGACCAGTTTTTAATGCCTTGAAATCAGGGTTTTCTCCTAGTGACTGTAGTACTGATCACGAAATTGAGATGATATTTTGTTGGCAAAGTTTGAAGTAGAAAGCAAGAATAAATGAGAAAGGAAAGCACAATCAAGATCTAGTTCTCAACACAAAGTCTGAAGATTTATTGTTGTTAACTATTGTGCATGCTTCAAGTTCCTTACAAAAGAATACTACTGTAATTATGTGAAGGAACTTTCCCACAAGTTTTATTCATTTTTTGATTTTACAAAAACATTCCTTCTAGATTGCAAAGGGTAAATTCTAGCTTTTAAGAGTAACATTAAAATAGCTGGTTGATGGAACAAAGTATTTAGGAAGTTTAAAGTTCTTTTACTATTTACCTGCCACATACATGTTTATTTAAAAGCACCACACTGGCCCTCTTCCTTCGCCTATACCTTAATTCTCCAGGAGTCAATTCTTATACAAATGTAATGAAATAAAGGGCAGAAAAACTTCCTATGTTACCAAAGATTCTTAAGACACATCAACAGCTGCAAACAGCAGCACTATTACCTAGTAAAGCAAAGCCACAGCCTGCTGCACTATGTGAAGTTTTCATTATATTTATTAAATCAAATTAAACTTAGCACTGCACATGGTAGCCATGGTATTTATATTCCTCAAAGTCACATCTTTGGCCTTGTTCTCTTTAGCCAGTCCCAAGACTTGTGCCATTTATCCAAATCCTAATGGCCACTAATTTCTACCTTCAACCTCTGTATGACACTTACTCCAAGATCAAGAGTGGAAGAGTTTACACAAATGTAACTAAAACAAAAGCTACATGATCATCTCAATAGCCAAGTAAAGGCATCTGACAAATCACAACACCCAAAATCCCCACAGTAACTTTATAGTTAATAGAGAGAAAAACGGGTATTTCTGCCCAAATAAGAAACTAGAAAAAGATGTTTACTTGCACCACTTCTATTCAGTATTGCACTGAAGGGTCTAGTGAGGGTAAATGGCCAAGAAAAAGGAATAAATGGCATTCAGATGAGGAAGCAAAAAGCAAAAGTACATGTGCAGATGACATTATTTTATATATACTAAACCTTTAAGGAATTCTCTAAACCACTAGAACAAAGAAGTTTGACAAAGTTAAAGGATACCAAAATAGTATACAAAAATCATTTGTATTCATTGTCAGCAATGAATAATCAAAAAATGAAATTAAGAAACAACTCCGCTTTTAATATATTGGTTAGGAATAAATTTAAATGTAAATCTTATCTACTCAAAACAATAAACAGTGTTAAAAGAAACTTTAAAACACCCTAAATTCATGGCTCTGAAGTCTTAAGATTGTTAAAATGTCAATATTTCCCAAACTGACCTACAGATTGAAATTCCCAGCTAGACATTTTTGCAAAAATTGGCAAGCTGACAAGCCGATTCTAAAATCATGCACATGGAAAGAATTCTGAACAGCCAAAACAATCTTGGCAAAGAACAATGTTGAAGACTCATACTTCCTAATTTCAAATTACAAAACTACAGTAATCGAAACAGTGCAAGAGAATAGATATAAGGATCAATGGAACAGAGCTGAGAGTCCAGAAATAAAACGCTCATATTTATGATCAAGTGATGACAGAGGCACCAAAGATAACTTATGGGGAAAAATATGAATGGTGCCAGGACAACTAAATATTCACATATTCAAAAGAATGATGTTGGGCTCCTTTGAACCACACACAACTTTAACTGAACTAGATCATAAACCTACATGTAAGAGTTAAAACTACAAAACTCTTAGAAGAAAACAAAGGTAGAAGACTTAATTGCCTTTTATTAGGCAGTCAAGAAAACAAAATGGGATCAAGCCCATGGAATGGGGAAAACATTTTCAAATTATGTATTAGACAAGGGACTTTTACTCAAAATTCCCTAAGAACTCCTACAACTCAAAAAAAAGGAGACAGAAGAAAGAAAAATAACCAGACTGAAAACAGATTGGTAGTTTGCAAGGGTTATGGGGGAAGGGAGATGAAGAATGACTGCTAATGGATGAGGGTTTTTCCTGAAGTGATGACAATGTTCCAAAATCAGATAGTGGTGATGGTTATACAAGCTATGTGAATATACTAAAAACCACTTATTTGTATACTTTTTAAAAAGAGAGTACATACATACTGTGTGACCATATTCATATAAAATTCTAGAAAAAAAATTCTAATCTATCAGCAGATAAGTATGTGCTTGGAGGTAAACAGGGTTAGGGAAGAATAGAGATTATAATGGAGCAAAAAGAACCTTGAAGATAACAT